ACACACACACACACACACACACACACAAGGATGAGTCAAAAAGTAACTGCACTCTGGTTATATTAAAACGGCTGTCCATGTCCATGGCTGATGATGGCATTGAGCATGCATGTGAAATGATTCTGTCAAACAGCTGAGTGACAGTGGATTATGTGGCAAATCATTTGCAAAACAGCCATGGCTCTGCCTGTGAAATAATCCACAACAGACTTGGGTTTCAAAAAGTTTGTGCAAGACTATTTGACTGTGACAATATCAGGAAAGCTGTTTGCCTTGGAGTCATCAAGGCAAGAAACATCGATCCATCAGGGTAAACCCCTTTCTAAGACTGAAACCCAAAGGAACACATGAACAGTCTTGTATGCTCGTTAGTGACTGCCCTGGCCAACTTGTGAGTGGAAGTGGGGGAAATACAGTAATGAAGACTTGGGCTGAGTTTGGCCGTGTTCCATAGACACCCGATGACCTTGAGATGAGAGAGAGAAGAGGAAGGTGTGGCTGGTTTGAAATTCAGGGAGACATGAGAAATCCTGTGTCGAAGGACACTGACCTAGTCATTGGGGCTAGAGTTAAGAGTGAAGTGGCCAGCTGGTCTGAAGTTGGGGGAGGCATGGGAGAATGCCTAAACTTGCAGATAATAACCATTTGACAAAGCTTGGATGGCTTGCTGACCAGAACTCGATCAGATGAAGATAAAGAAGTTTGATACAGGGAGCAAGCTTAAATTGCTACAACTGGATGAACTGGACTTTTACTTATGGATGAAGTTTCCTCAAAATTCCAACTGAAAAGCAAGCATTCTTCGTATCGAGGACCAAGCTTGCCTCCTCAGTGCACTCAGTTGATAGGGACGGGCAACTTAAACTTTAGCTGTCAAAACTGGGGAGCTATAAAGGCACAAAGTGGCAGGCTTTCAAGCTTTCATGAGGGTGCTCAGTGTCAGAATGAGGGCAGGAGTAAGATAGAATCTCTACTGAATAGTTTTCCTCTTGTCCAGAGGGGTCTGGTGATAATGGGGATAGGGTTTTATGACTTGATCATGAGTAATTGTTATCAGGACTAATGGTGATTGTCACAACTGTACATGTAGAAGAGGTGTAACTAAAAGGGAGAGCAGTTAATCTGTCATTTCTGGAACAGAGGACCCTAGAATCATCAGGAGGGAAGAGCATGAGAGGCGGGAGGGATACTAACTAGAAAAGTGGCAACAACACAGATGGGGGAAGAGGTGATGGCACAGAGAGACCAAGCAGCAGAGGTCTCTAGGTCCATGGACTGAGAAAGGCAGTGTGCCTATGGGAAGGAGGCTAGCTTGTAAAATGTGTCCTTTGGACGCTTAAATATATATTTTCAATGTGGTATATGTACACGCACACACAGAAAAAAGGTAATAGAGTAAATACTGTTAGCTGATGGTGCGTGGAGGGGATTGTAATCATTAGATTGATTTGTTAAATGTAAAATTGATGATCTGCCCTGTAAACTTTCACTCAATTCACAATAAAAGTTAAAAAAAAAAAGTTTGTGTGAGATGGGTACCAAAACAACTCACAGAAGAACATAAACAGAAGCGATTGGACATCTGTAAACAAAATTTGAACTGATACTCGAAATTAAAAGTTTCTTTAAAAAAA